ATACAGTCCTGGTCCTCAACCTCATCCTGTATCGAGTTCGTTGCCCCTCCCCCCTCCCCCCTTCCGTCACAACTGGCCGGCCGAAGAGCCGAGCCGGAGATCGGACCGGACCCCCCCTCATTAAGTCTCATTAACCGGCCGTAAATTAATGGCAGTTTGATTGTGAATCATTCCAATCCGTCTGGCCAACCAGGGACAATCGTGATTGTTCTCCGCTCGCTCCGAGCAACCCTGCGGGTTGATTGTTGAATCGTTATCGAATGCTTCTGATCGATAAATCCCTATCTTAACAATGCCATATATCGATCAAGGTCATTCGATAACGATTCAACAATCGAATAGCTGGTTGCCACTCCGACTCCAGGTCACCAAGGAGCAAGTGATGAGTTTTTCTTGCTCCTTGATTACTAACTGCCGTGCTAAGGAAAAACGACGTATGAACATTCGAGGGTTGCCAAATTTCTCCGGATTATGCATGCATTTTTGAGGAAGGTTATGCATATCTTTTTGTGAAATTTTCTGATATGTTGGATCAAATTGCGAACAAAAGCATCTGAAAAATTTGAAAAAAATATTCAAAATTTGTCCTGTAAATTCGGTTTTTAGTGAAGAAAATCTGGCAACGCCTTAAGGCTCATATGGCGTTTTTCCTCAGCACGGCAGATTAGGTATCCAATCCTAGATGTTCTTCACTGTCTACGGAAAAAGAACCCTAGTGCCGATCATAAAATACGTAACGCTCTGTGGATGGAGTGGGGCCCAGGAGAATGATATCGAGGGCTAAAGAATGATACGGCTTAAATGACAATTTTGGCGAAAATAATTTTGTGTTTTATAAATACCATTTTTTTCAGAAAGTTTACATTTTTAATAAATCACATAAAACTTTACCATTTGCTTAGTTTACGCAGAAAAATCTCAATTTGAAAAAAATAATCTCACGAGTCCTATTTCGAAGTTTCTCTTTCTTCGAAGTTTTTCTTCCTCGGAAAATTGTTGGGGGGTTGTATACACGGCCCCTGAAAAATCTTCGAAATTTCTTGGAAAATGAACTTACACATTTCAGCTAAATGAAACTGTAATTTTTGCTTCCCGCCGAGCTAGGCCGTCAAATTTCGAACTAAAAAGTGTGTGCTCGAAAGCTAACCTTTAAGTTTCGAACTTGCGGCAGGTAGCGCCTCCCGAAATCGCGTTTTGGAGCAGGAACGAAAAGCGCAGCTCAAGAACCGAGGCGAGTTCTTCGGGTTGGATGTGGATGAGTCAATGCCCTGGTTATTCCTCAGTTGAACGCATATCGCAGTCGTTTAACGAGTAACGACCCAGTAGCGTCGCGGCGCGATGGTTTCCGTCTGGCCATAGCGTCGAGGTGCGCGGCGACCGTCCATGGTATCAAGTCTGACGGTAGCCATCACGATCAGTGCTACCACCACCACATCAGCGTCTAACGAGGATACTTTGCTGTTTAAGCTGTGGAGGCATCGCTCTGTTGCAAGGTCGATACTGCTGCAAACCTTTGCTAGGGCGTGAAGAAGAGTTCAGGGTACCCGCAAGTCCGGAAATAGTACTGATTTTTGAAGGATGGTCCGGAAGTACTGAGAAAGTGCGGAATTTCCGCAAGAAAGTCCGGAATTTTTGTCATTTTTGTCGCAATTTGAGAAAAAAATTCAAATTTTAGAAATTGTTTGAATTTTGTCAAATGAAGGCACTGAAAAAGCACTGAATTTTTCAGTTGAGGAGGTACTGAATTTCTTGGGAATGTATATTGAAAAAGTACTGTAAAAGTTCTGATTTTTAGTCAGCCTGTTTTAGTAAACACCCTGGAGTTACATCTTTTAAGAGAAATGGCTCTAAAAGCACGATGAGAATAGACTGATGTAGAATTATTAGGAACTACAATTTTAGGCTCATTCATAAAAGCCACCTGGCTGCACGAGGGAACTTGAATCAAATATGCTGTTCCTAACACGAGCCAGAAATAGTTCCTTATTGCAAATCGTGTTTAAATTTATATATTTCCATATAATTGTGCCGGTCTCAAAGGGCGTGGCAAAAAGATTATTAGAATAGAATTAGTCTACTTGCAGAATATTGAGCTTCACGCTTCAAAAAATATACTTCGCATGTTCGAAGTTTGAAACAGGAGTTACCCCTGCGCTTGGGGGCTAATTATTGGCTTTGTCATTAGACAAAGCGATAGACAAAAGAGGCGAAGAGAGACTGGAGCGATCCTCCTTGTGGGAGCGACTGATCGCAATGAGCGTAGGAAGTTAGCAAGACCATCTACCGGCCAACCATTAGAGACCCTATCGGTATGCTTGTCCACAATTTTCACCCTTAAGCTTGAACAACCACTCGTTCCAACCAATAGGATAGCTTCAATTGCCCTTTACCTTCTTTGTCCATAGTTTTGTCTATCAATTTTAATAATCAGCCTCCAGTTTCACAACTCGAAGCGTACATGAAAATGACCGGCGTCTTAAGTTGCAGTTTTTCAATTAAAAACAATTTTCACGTTATAAACGTCATGTATCTGCTTTCCTCCCTCTCCTGCTTTCTAGCTTTCGATTTTTTTAAAGTTTATTTTTAGTTATTTATCAATGAAGTACTTTAGCGTTAGGAGGCGACTCGCGGACACGAACTGTACCCGGCGGCTTCTCTGCTGAAAGCCTTAAAATCGGAATGCTCGAAGCTGTGCTCGCAGTATGACAAGGTGTTGGGTATTATAGACATGGCACGCGACGCTTAAGTATCGAATAAATCAATAATTAACTCGCCGTGTTTGTTTATGGTTCGTTCGTCGCGTCGCGTCGCACAGTGGATTGAGTCAATGGGAGAGACCGGACACGATGTGGGAATTTTCGTAGCTTATTATCTTCGTTAATGTAAAACGCACAGGTTTCACAATGGTACCATTGGTTTCCTCTCAGAATTTCCCGTTGAAAGGACCTCTTTCAATTTTAGTATGTGCTAAAATAAACATCAGAATTTGGAGTTTTAGTCACTTTTACAACTGTGCGGTGCGGCACGCCGGTGTGGTGCAGTAGCCTGTGTGCCGTATGGCTACTCCTGGGCATGAGAGTCGTCGGTTATCAATTGGCCGCTATTGTATAATGAAGTTAGTTTTACCTTATATGGCCATCTCTCAATCTCGCCCGCGCGCGTCCACAAACTCGCCAGCTTCACGCTCTGCTCGCGCTATCTCGCGCGTTTTATTCGCCGTTTTCGTCTTCTCCTCGCAGATTTTCCTTAGTTTACCCCTCTTGTTCTCCGATTTCCTGTTCGTTGACCCACCGAGCTCCTTTGTTTTCCCACCTGACAACGCGATTCTCCGGGGCCAAATTTTGTCGGCTCTTTCAGTAGGAGGTGCGACATCCATCGATGAGTCAAAACCGCACCACCGGCCAATCAGGAGCGCTAAGCCGTACTTGAGTGCAGTCGAGACTTGTCCCAAGTATATTTCAGTACGGTGGAAGGACCGACAAAATTCGGCCCATAGTCAGCATTTTTCTGGATCTCTCACTGTACAACACCTCTAGTGTGAAATAGTGAGGCGCCGTGGCACGTGGCACGTTGCGGCGCGGCCAGCCAGCCAGCAGGGAACGCGCATTGGCGCCTACAAACCTAAGGGATACCTCAAGCATTGCGCAATGCGTGAAGTATCTGCTTAGGTTTGTAGGCGCCAGTGCGCGTTTCGTGCTGGCAGCTCGTCGCATTTGATAGGACGTATATTTAATAGGACGTATTTGACTCTGAAAGATCAATGTACAAATGGGCTAAAACCGAAGATTGCGTGCTTCTCGGTTTTTTCCCTCTTTTATTCATCTGTACATAGTTTCTTTTGACACAACTACTGTTCATTGAATTTAGTATCGATGCCATCGCTTGGAAAAGGTTTTACAAATATTTGCCACGTTTTAAAAATTTAAATGTTTTTAAAATAAAGTAATATTTTCATTAAAAAAATTATTTATAAGGTTTATATTTCATCGAAAATTTCAAGGATGGAAATAAAACCAAATATTCACCCATGACAATTAAAAAAGATTGATCAAAAGAAGGAAATAACATTTCATTTAAAAAATGAGTTACCACAACAACTCTTCCGTCTCTCTCAATTTTCTCATTTCATTATTGTCAATGTAATTTCACATACGGACTAAAACATGACACTTGGACCAAGTCACTGTTGCTTATTTCACTCGTGGACGTAAACCACTAGACAAACAGGTGTGCGGACAAAAAATCGTTGACGGAATGCCCTGAAACCCTTAATACTCGAAGGAAATATCACAAAAAGTTCAAGGTTGTTATTTTGCTCAGGTTTCATGTGAAATGAGGTGAAGAAGAAAAGAACATGAGAGTATTGTGCAATGCGAACTAAGTTACGGTTTTCTCGTTAAATTTGTCCAACTAAACGTCGGGAAATGTAGAGCAAGGAGTGCGCTATTGCCGTATAATGTGCGTTGCAGATCGTGCATGAAGAATTAGATACTTCAACGTGGCCTCATACGTGCCTGAAAATATTTTCTTTTTCGAAAGAAGGGGTATCGCAATACNGGGGGGGGGGGGGGGGGGGGGGGGTCGCCGTACAGTGAATCGAGTCAATCAGAGAGTTCGGACATGAAAGTTCTGACGAAAACTGCAAATTTTGATGCTCAATTCTTCGCACTTTAAATTTTAAGGGGTGCATGTAGAAGAAAACTTCACGAAGAACCAACGGAACCACTTTTATAACCTCAAAGTTTTGTATAAACGGAGTTTTGAACTTTTAAAGTTTCCAAAGTTCGTCCGACCTCTCTCATTCAATCGATCCACTGTGTGCCGCCTCAACGTCACTATTTTCAAGTTTTTGTTCTTTGAAGCGAGGAAAATGTTCAAGTACTGTTCAATGCACGGTGATAATCATTTATTTTTAGGGACATTGGTTTTTTTTGTCTAATTTTTTGTCTCTCTTGTCTTTCTTATATTTCTCATCTAATTTTTGTTTCGTTTTGTTGCAGGATTGTGGAGATCATTTGCCCTCCGACAATGATAATGACGACGAGGACTCAAATAGTGGAAAAAGGTAAGAACAAGATTTGCTTTATATTTTCAAAAAGCAAAAAGCATATTTACACTGGTAGAGCTCGCTTCTGATATTCCGCGTACTTCTTTCTCTCATGAAATCTGTTGCTTACCGCCGGTGCAAAGTGACGGTTCACCAGCTTGTGAAGTGGCACAGGCTCTTAGTAACCACCCGTTACTATATCTTAGTATGGAGTATATATGCTCAACAAAGTTTTTAAACTTTGATCAAAAATATATGATATTGGGCCGTCGCGTCGTTCGCGCAGGGGAAAAATTACTGGATTGCAATTGAGGCGGTGGCTGCACTAATGGCATATGTGGAAAAACCTTGTTTTGAGAAAAACACGTTTGAAGTTTTACCTTGTGAATAACACGTCGTGTTTTTTAGAAACACAGCGGATTTTTTCCTTACTAGTTTAAGGTTTGAGTGCTTCTTGAAGAGCAGACGTGCATAAAATCAAATAATTTAATTTTGAGTGATCGGTAGATTTTTTTTAAAAAACTCCGTCAAGTGCTGTTTTTGTACCTAACAATTGAACTTACGGAAATTTGAGTGAATTTGAGAGTAATAATGTTTTTTCAAAAATAAATATTTTCTGAGCGGAAATTTGGCAACATTCGAATGCTCATACGTCGTTTTTACTCAGCACGGCAGAGTAGCGAGGATGCTGCCGCTAATTTCACGTGCAGCGCATGGACGTGCGCGCGCGGGATATTGTGGTGCGCGGCCTTATATAGCCAAGTGACTGTTTTTAGTAACGAAACTGTCGTGTGAGTGTGAAACCGCCTCTCGTCCATCCCGCTTCGAGCCACCGTTTACAAGGCCCGCCCGAGCGGTAGAAGTACTTTCGCACTGTGTAATTTTGCTCTTGTGATCGTAATTTAGTAATTACAACGCCCCCCCCCCCCCCCNCGGATTCCTTCCGGCGATTCTCCTATCCGAGATCAAAACATCGCCAACGGGGTGAGAGGTTAAGCACTACAGCCAGTGGCGATTCTGCGAGTTGGCAACACTGTTTTTCCTCCATTTAAATCCATTTAAATTATCGATTTTAGGGGAGACAAGCTGCCTCACCAAGAATCGATTGTTTTACATAGATTTAAATGGAGGACAAACAGAGTTTCCAACTTTCAAGAATCTTCACTGATTACAGCACATTTTTTCACATCAAAATTTCACGCAGAACACGTTAAACTTCTTTAAACCTTTCAAATTAACCTATAAGTAAGAAATAAACGTTCGCAGTTTACATTGTGAACAGTGTATTCAAACCTACCGCTCGCGGAAAACTCGTAATCAACGCACTCCAAATGAGATATGCAGGGGCGCAGAAACTTCCAAGGGTTCCCTCAAAATAAATTTAGGTTCCCCCATTTTAAGTTTTCGCAGAATTTTGCCCGACATGTAAAGTAACGTGGTCGGCAGTCGGGTTCCCTCAAAACAGCGCGCTTGACATTTAGGTTCCCTCAAAGTATCGCACTCAACAGTCAAGTTCCTCCTGAATATAAAAAAAAAAAAACCTCCCAGGGTTCCCCCCTTTCTTTGTCCTCACATGGGTTCTCCCATTTCTTCGTCCTCACATGGGTTCCCCCATTTTTCTCGTCCCCACATGGGTTTCCCCATTTCAAGCGAACGGCCGATCGCGTGGTTGGGAAGTTTCTGTACCCCTGGTCAGTTATGGAAATAAACCTAAACTTTAGGCAAATAAGTAGAGGTTGATTTCACACACATTTCCTTCCTCTTCTGATAAAAGGTTTTAATTTTGTCAAAAACAACTCTGCACACAGGGTAATTTTTATTCCGTCGTTTAATATACAAAACTTATTAGTCGAAACAGGAAATTTTTGATACGTTTATCGTGTTCTGCGTGCAATTTCAATGCGGTGCCGACTGGGCGCCAAGCCGCACCGGTGAGCTGGTGACCAGTCGTTACCTGGACACATTGGCATAAGCCCTCGCCAATGCGGAAAAGCTCCGCTCCAAGTCGGAACTTCCACATCCAACACCCGATTTTATAATCCGTCGCGTCTGACTCTGACCCGCGGCGTTGCGGTGCGCCAGCAAGCGCAGCGCTGCAGCATGGTCTTGTCATCGTNGTTGTTGTTGTTGTTGTCATCGGATGGCCGGGTACCCGTGTATCGCAAACAATCGATTATGTATCGAAAAAGTGACCCGGCGTCACACAGGAGTCTCGGAATTCGGGACATGGAAAATGCTTAAAAGTGGCGCCAGCTCTCCCAATTACATTACGACTCTATGTACTCTATGGGAAATAAACCTAAACTTTAGGCAAATAAGTAGAGGTTGATTTCACACACATTTCCTTCCTCTTCTGATACAAGGTTTTAATTTTGTCAAAAACAACTTTGCACACAGGGTAATTTTTATTCCGTCGTTTAATATACAAAACTTATTAGTCGAAACAGGAAATTTTTGATACGTTTATCGTGTTCTGCGTGCAATTTCAAAGCGGTGCCGACCGGACGCCAAGCCGCACCGGTGAGCTGGTGACCAGTCGTTACCTGGACACATTGGCATAAGCCCTCGCCAATGCGGAAAAGCTCCGCTCCAAGTCGGAACTTCCACATCCAACACCCGATTTTATAATCCGTCGCGTCTGACTCTGACCCGCGGCGCGGCGCACTATGGTCCGAATAGCCGGTTTAAGCGGCATTAAATCAGATACGTATGTTTAAACCTCGCAACATGAGTTTTCAGGGGTTTTTAGGGTCGCTGAGTGCAAAAATGCTAATATTCTTCAGGAAAAATCCATTTTTAACATTTTTATGCTTTATATAACTGTGGTAATAATTTGTTCAGAAACCTTAAGTTGAGGCACACTGAGAAAAAACTATGGTTTATAAACCTATTAGAGGTAAATATGGAACACCTATAATAGTCGTAAATAAACTAATGATTCTCGGTCTGTGAACCATACTAAGGTCTCTGTACCTAATTAAGGTGTACGTACCATAACTAAGGTATATGTGCTATTATTATATGTAGAGGTACTACTATTAGTGGTGTTCCATATTTACCTCTAATAGGTTTATAAGCCATAGTTTTTTCTCAGTGCACAAGATCCATGTCGATGCGGTGGAGCAGTTGGCAGCGCGTCTCACTTGTCTTCTTGATGTCCCGGGTTCGATTTTCGGTAGAATTTTTTTTTTTTTTTTTTTTTTTTTTTTTTTAAGTTTAAAAATTAATTTTACATTGGATGGACTATAAGAAGCTAAAAGTAGAGCCTCGTCAAACACTACTATCAAGGGAACTTGAAAAAGACAGCTCAGGATAATACTTCTACGTTTCATGGCTCCAGAGGCCTACTTTCAAGTCCCACCGATCAGCCGTTTGAACTTGTTTTCGTCTGCCAAGCGAAACTTAAGCTTAAATATATCCATTTTGATAGATTATTTATTTGAAACATGGGTAAACGTAAAAAAAAAAAAGTTTACGGGACCTCAAAGTGGCTTCCTAAGACAATTTCATTGCTCGGGAGCCTTACTTTCAAGTCCCACCGATCAACCGTTTAGACTTTTTTTCGTCTGCCAAGCTAAACTTATACTAACATATATCTACACTGATAGGTTATATGTTTGAAACACTTAAAACGTCAAAAAAAAAAACTTTTACGGGGCCTCAAAGTAGCCTCCCGAGGCGATTCTTTGCTGTTCTTGAGCACAAAGTTTCAATTGGTCCCGATCAACCCCATCAACTCGTATTATTCTGCCTGGGCAGATTTAGGCTCTAATGCATTCGATTTGCTAGAATATGACAATGGAACATGATAAAAGTCATCGTCAATGGCATATGATAGCTAATTGTAGTAAGTGATAAGAAACGCGAAAACGTCATTTTTCATGAGAAATAACTTGAAGCGATTGTGTATGATTGATCTGCCACTCAGACTAAAAGGTAGTATAGAGTCATGACAATAACTTCCGAGTAAAATTACGAGGTGCTCAGAGGTGCAAAGGATATTTTTTGGGTCCTACTTTTGCGATTTTATTGAAAAAAGTGACTATGTCTAAGGGTTAATCTAGAACATTAGATATGATGAAAAAGAACAGTTTCAGCATGAAACATCTTAAACTTATCTTGTATTTTGTGAATCAAGTGCCCAAACACTTTCAGGTACGGTGAAACGACGAAAACAAGCCCTTAAACACAGCGCTGGAATCGCACTCATGAAGTGCTCCGCGCGCCGCACTTCCCAGGCTTGTCACATCTTTATTAGTGCTTTAATCGAAGTGAAATTTTACAGGAGTCTTCTCTACAGTATGTACTATCGATCTACCTCTTAAAATCTAACTTTTTCCAAACTTCACTTTTTCGATTTATTGCCGCTTAAACCGGCTATTCGGACCATAGTGCGGCGTTGCGGTGCGCCAGCAAGCGCAGCGCTGCAGCATGGTCTTGTCATCGTTGCAAAGAGGCGCGCCTTCAATCCAGCTAGCGGCAACATGGACATCTCTCGTGATCGAATAGTTATCTCAGAACGCCTTCCTCTAATGAAGTCAAATATGGATGGCTATGGGCAAAAAACCGATTGCACTGTTGCACACCTTCACGCATGTTCCGTTTCCATTTTTCTTTGTTTTAAGAACTTTAAAACAATTATCTGATAAAATTTTCCGCGAATTTTCCTGTCGCCTTTCATGAAAGAGGATTTCGCGGCGATGTTTTGGTTACTTCTTTTTCCACCCTTACATCATCTTGTACAGCCCTGGCTAGTGTAATTTTCATTTTATGTCGTGCCGCGCGGATGTAAAATTTTGTGTGGTGGTAAAATATTTTAGCCCCGTACCATTGGGTTTGTGTGGCATGAAAAGATACTTCCTTTGATTATAGTTAATGTTCGCCTCATGGCAACTTATCCTATTCAACAAACGGAGCTGATTCTTAACAGAAGCTGTTAATTTTTTGAAGCTGGTAGCTTTTCGATTTGACAGCACTGCCGCGTCACTATCCGCCTCAGGGTGTAAGAAGGGTCCATC